TATCATTATTATTATTACTATTCTTTGATATATTAATCTTTTCATTTTTATTATGTTATATTTTATTGTTATCTATACAAATATATTGTGAATTGGACTTTTGTCAGTATTAAAAAATAAATAAATAAATAAATTAAATTAAATTAAAAAGAAAAACAAATTTTTAGGTTAATACGTGAAAAAATTGCAATAGTTACATATTGGCTGTAGGTGACTGGGACACCTTGAAACGTATTTGCTTCGCTTAATTCACTGTTTGAGGCCTGTGCCTCTTCTAATGGCAGCTGGATCGAGTGTGCCGCCGTTTGTTCAAAATTGGTGACGGGTATATTTCCTAAAGCTATTGCGCCCGGTAAGTCTTGGCACATAAGTTTTCGCTTTCGACAAATTGCCACCTATTACAAGAAAACAAGCTCTTCATTATTTTAAACTTTTTATTATTTAAAAACTAAAAAAGCCTAACGATAAATTTTTAAAATTCGAGAATTATTAATTATATGACTTGATAAGTACGTTAAAAGGAAAGTACAAAATATATATTGTATAGCCAATGCAAAAGAAAAACAAATTTTTGGTTAAATACGTGAAAATGTTGCAATAGTTACATATTCGCTGTAGGTCATGGGGACACCTTGAAATGCTTGTGCTTCAGTTAATTCAACATTGGCGGCTTGTTCTTTTTCTAATGGCATCTGGATCATTTGTGATGCAGTTTGTTCAACATTCGTGTCAGGTTTAAATCCTAAAGCTATTGCGGCCGGTAAGTCGCACATAAGTTTTCGTTTTCGACAATTGGCCACCTATAAGCAGATAACAATTACAAGCTCTTCATTATTTTCAAAATTATTGATTTTTTAAAACCTCAAATATCTTAGAGATAAATGTATATAATTCGATAATTATTTATTATATGACTAGATAAGTGCGTTAAAAGAAAAGTAAAAACATATTATGTATAATCAATGCAAAAGAAAAACAAATTTTTGGTTAAATACGTGAAAATGTTGCAATAGTTACATATTCACTGTAGGTCATGGGGACACCTTGAAATGCTTGTGCTTCAGTTAATTCAACATTGGCGGCTTGTTCTTTTTCTAATGGCATCTGGATCATTTG